CCCTCCTCCTTATCTACCCCTTGGACTAGACCATTTAAGTGATTTACCGCCGGGTTATACGCTTAGCGCCAAGCAATTAACGGTGTGAGGTATGGGTAGATAAGAGCGAGTCAGGCGCTGACGTCTAGTATCCTTTGGGAGATCAAAGGGAGATGTACTGGGAGGATAAAGGGGTAAGAAAGGTGACAGCCGTTTGGTCTGTTTTGTTTTAAATCAGAGAAATAGTGTGGGTGTCCATAAATTTCAAAAAGTCGTCCTTTATCTAACATTGTTTTATTCTATATATTTTTTCACATTCAAAATGATGCTGATTCTTTGTCAGTAATCACTTCAGCTGGAAAGTAATTATCTTGGAGGATGGGCTATTTTCTAAAAGTTAAAATGACCAGAGGAGGTAAGGTGATATAGATAACATCTCGAATATTCTCATTTACAGTTTTGTCGGAAAGATGATTCCAAGAGTGAATCTACCGAAGTTCTAGTGCAGATGGTTTTATTTTTCTCAGAAAAATTTTTTTGACTTTATTTCTACCATTTCTAATGTTTTTGCTTCAGGCTCCTAGAAGAATTGGACATGGAGCTCGTATTTGTGCGAAAGTTCCCAGAAGCATTGCAACACTGGAAAACAACTGGAGCTGGTTTGCTCACACGAATGCAGGTAATTTGAAAAACATCAGATAATAATTGTTAACAATTCATACTTCCTATCGGACATATCAATGAAGTCGTTGGTTCGAAAAATTTGTTATATGGCTGTTTCAGGCCTTGGAACCTTATCCACCAAGGAATGGTGCGAAACTCTCTGCTGAAGATGCTGAATATGAGCAAGCGAAGGAATTTGTGAAAGCTTTAGATTCGAGGGAAAATCCTAATATTGTGAGTTTTTTCGAGGGTCTTAAAAATTTTGTTGTTTCGTTGAAGTTATTAGGTAACTTAGAGGACAGTGAACTACGATAACTACAATTGTGTTTTGTCTCCAAACTCTAATTTTGAATGCGTTTTGGGTAATTCTTTTTTTTTGCGTTCGATCAAGTCGTTATCTGATACAT